ACAGCAGGTTCTCGGGAGCTGCAGGGTGACGGTTTCAGGAAGGAGGAGGCTGATGCTGTCAAAGCCACAGCTGAGAGGAAGATAAAAGGGCACTGCTTGAGAAAACGGGGCTCGGGGTGAATGGCAGGACTGACTGTAATGTGCAAGAAACAGGAGAGTGGGGGGACCCTCCTGGCAGAAGAGGCAGAGAAACCACAGAGAAGGCCTCGGGAGCATACGAGGGACTTGAGAAAGCTTGTGAAAAAGCGCAATAAAGCGCGAGTCCATTGGGGTGAAACACTGCGAAATCCATGCTCAGTTTTTTCATGAATTCTTTTTTTGATAACTTTTATTTATTAATTTTAATGATTATTTATACATTTAATCGCTATACATCATTTAGATTGTAAAAAGACTCTACCCAGCATAACACACACCTCAGTCCAGCCCAGCCGAGAATTTCATGAATTCTTAAAGACCCCTCATCCAGATGGCATGCACAGGGGTCTTTTTTCTTAGCTTTTCACTCTGGTACCCCAAATGTCCATTTCTATATTCAAGTGTCACCATGACCAGAGAGCGAAGTCAAGTTCTTTGGGTGAGCACTGAAGACCCTCTATCTTCTTGCTACAAACCAGCAATGCTATGTCCTAGGGACACCTCCTGGGCCACCAAACCCCTGCCTTCTTCCTGGGAAGCCCCGAAGAACCTTTCTAGTGGCTTTACCCACGTCTGCGGATGGTCACTCTCTGGCCTCGATAGCGGTGGTGTGTGAACACGTCTTATCTTCTCAACTGGACTTGGAGCTCCTGAAAAGCAGAGTCTCTTCATCTCAGAGCCTCCAGGTCCCAACCCCAACCTATGAAGAAAGAGGGGTTCAAGTAAGTCCAGGCTCAGTAGCGATGATGCAGGCAGTAGGGGTGCCGCTACATGGTGTTAGAGGCCGTGTGCAAGGCTTCAGTTTCACATCCTGAGTCTGCAGAACACTGGGCATGTCTGGATCCTGGTTGGCTGCAGGGCTTGAACCTGCCAGAGGTCCCTCTCAACAAATAAACTTGAAAAAAAAATTATAAGACCAGTTACACGCTAACATTTTTCTGGCGCAGATAATGCTTAACCTGCAGGGAAAATTTTGTCCAAGTAAGAATTTCGGACACTACAGGAAGAAGGGGAGGGACATCTGAGACCAGAGCCCCTCAACTCAGGCAAAGGCCCTCTTCCCACACTCTGCTCCCTCCAGCTCTGAGCTGTAGAGCAATGCAGCCCATGGCCCATGTGCTTTTATGGGGAGACTAAAATTTCTTCCTACTTCACATCTGGGAAGCCAGAGGTAGCTGCGTCCTAGCCGGCACGGCTGCCATGAATTTCTAGAGAAGGAATCAGTGACAATTGACTGAGTGTCTGACTATCTGTGGTGTAGTGGCTAAGGTGCTGGACTCCCCTATGGCCGACTGAGGTTTGAGTCTCAGACCCGTTGGCTTGAAAATCATGCCAGGCACGTGCCCAAAATCCCAAGGGGAGAAGGGAGGAGAGGTGATTAGGGCGTGGCCACCCCAGGCGATTTCTCACCTTTTCTCTCTCTGAATCTCTCTGTCTCTCTCTTTTCTGGGAGCACACACGCCCTATGACAAAAACCTTAAAAAAATTCACTGAATGCCTACTATGTGCCACGTGCTACATTAAGTAAGTCCATCTAAACATGAAGGTGCTCTTATTATAAGCTCATGTTACAAATAAGAACATTCAGAGGTGTTAAGAACTTCAACCTTGGGGCCAACAGGTGGCATGGTGGCTAAGGCACTGGACTCCCCCATGGTCAACAGTAGTTCGAGTCCTGGACCTGATGGCTTGACTATTACACTGGGTGTGTGTGAGTACATGTCCAAATCCTGAGAGGTGATTAGAGGAGAAGAGTTTGCAGCATAGCCATCTCCCCTGGAGGGTGATTTTTCACTTTCCTTCTCCTATCTCTGTGTGTCTCTCCAGTGAGCACATGCACCTTATGGCAAAAAACTAAAAAGAAAAGAAGAAGGAAAGAGAACTCCAACCTTAACAAAATGGGATTGTATGCAGGTTTCTGACTCCAGAGTCCCCACAAGTCCTAGGTCTGGATGCGCTTCTGATGTTGAGATCAGTTCAGAAGCACGATGCTCTCCTTTCGTTCCCAAACACAAGGATATTCCAACCTTTTAAAGTTTCACTGCCTTAGTGTTTGGGGGGGCCTCTAAAGTCTGGAAAGGGAAAGGTCAGCTTGCAGAATAAGGAAGAAATGAAACTAACTTCTTAGTTCAGCTCCTCCATTTGAGACTAGCCTGGGAGAGAACTGAGAGAAACCCCAACTCCAGAAATCTGGCCTATGCTTCCAGCATGGGGGACTTTTCTGCGCCCCCTGGTGGTCTGCAATACCACTGTGTCGTCTCAAATCAGCGGATTAGGTTATCCCATAGCAGAGCGGAGGAGACAGGAACATCAAGGAAATCCTTGCACTGTCACTGAAACCCAGTTTTGGCTGCCAGTCCTTTCCAAGCATCACTCTGTCTCCCTGTAGGTCTCCATAGTGGCTGACTGACCCAACAGTCAATCTGTAACATTGGTTAGGACAAGTCCTATAAATTCAATACACCATTAGATGTGCCACACTCTAGGGCTCCTCCCGTGGCCTACTGGTTAAGGGAGCCAGATCCCACATGGCTGACTACCATTTGAATTCCAGCCCCGGTGACTTAAAAACATGCAGTGGGGCTGGCAGGTGAGATGATGGTTAAAGTGCTGGACTCCCACATGGCCAACCGTGGTTCAATTCCCAGACCTGGTACCTTGCTTTCTCACTTCTCTCTCTCTCTCTCTCTGTGTGTGTGTGTGTGTCTCTGATGAGCACATGTGTCCTATAGCAAATTTTAAAATAATAATAATAAATAACATTAAATAAATAATTCTTTAAAAATAAACATGCTGGGTACTGTGTGTGCATGACCAAAATCTCCATAACTCAATAGACTGGAGAGATGAGGAGTGCGGTGTGGCCATTCCATGTTGAGGGGGTGCTTCCTCTCTCGTTCTCTCTCTCTTACACACACAGGCAAGAGAGCACATGCACCCTCTGGTTTATAAACAAATGAAGGGTCATGATCCCGTATTATACATTCAGCTCTGCTGGGTCAGTATATAAAATGTGAGGTTTGGACTGCCAGGCCCCATTATTTTGAAATGGAATCTCAACACCCCGTCACCTCCACCTCCATTTCACATATTTCAAGAGCCTGCCTGCTGTTCCTAGGAGGGAGGTCCTCTCCCAAACCCAAAGTCCTACCACTGAAATGCAGGAATGTTAAGAGGCAGAAGGAAATTGTTCCTATGGGTACAAATGTTGCTTAAATAGTGGGGCAGGTGACAAGAAAAGAGAAAACTACAGGATGCCTTCGCCACCAGCTTCTGTCTAGGGAAGTATAGGAAACAACGGCAGGAGGGAGCCTGATAGATCTCAGGCAGAACTCCCGCCAGGATGAGCGGGAGTGTGCAGGGATTGCTCCTCTTCGAAGGCCTGAACCCGGGGGGAAGGCAGCCTGAGTGCAGAGGGGTGGACTCAGTCTCAGACCTTGTAGACAAGGAGGGGCCCAGGACCCAAGGGTAGCTGGACTGACCTACCTCTCAGCTGCCCTGGCACAAATCCTCCTGCCCAGTTTTGGTCTTCTGTGCCTGCTTAGGTCTTGGTCCTGCAAGAGAGAAAGGGCACCAGTTCTGCTGCCCCCTGGAGGACCGACTTCACCCCAGATGAAGATGTGCTTGGCAGAAGGAGCCCCACCATGGCACTTGGAGCTGTGGGCCTCAGGAAGTAGAGTCCTAGGTAGTCCTAGGTGGGGAGAGAAGGAAGGGATGAGAGGCTGGGAGCAGCAGGAGCCCTGGCAGCAGAAGAGCCCGACCTATAGGATGGATCCATCCGGTAGTCCTGACAATGACCCAGACAGTTTCCCAGAGGCCCCAAGGCTGGCTTTGCCAACCTAACGGAAAGTCGAGTGGAGTGGTGCCTGGCCCTAGGACTTGTGCAAGGACCTAAGGGCCCTCAGTGTGAATCCGGAGAAAGGGAGCGAAGTGCAGCCGCAGCTCTACTCTACACTCCCTTCCTGCCTATAAATAACCCCAAGTGTCACTTCAAAGGGGATGGGGGGCTCTGGAGAGGGGCTCCTGGGCGGGCGGGCTGCCGCAGCGGGCCCCGCACGCCACGCCCCCCCACCCCGGGCGAGTTTGCATAAATAAACAAATCCTAGCCGTCGGCCCCGCAGGAGGTTGTGGGGAGGAGGAGGGAGGGGAGGGAGATTAGTTTGGGAAGTAGCACGGATTGCTCATCCGATCTGTGCTGCCGCAGCCAGTGTGTCAAGTTACAGAGGCGCCTGAATCGGCCCCAGCGCTCCTCCGCAGCAGCCACGACCCACCTCTGCCAATGGGGCCCTCCATGTGCGCCCCTTCGCCCGGGGACTGAAACTGGCTCGCCAGGGAGACACAAGACACCCCGAAGGACCTACAGCGCGACGCCAACTCCAGGACCCCGTAGATACTGGAAGGAAAAGACCTGGTGGAAAGAGGGGAAGCCTGCCAGATTCCCCTAACTTTCCTGGAATTGGAACGTTCTTCAGAATAACTTTTTTTTTCTCACCTTGGTGCACCTCGATTACTGCTGGTTGTGTTTTTTCGTCTTTTCCCTTTCAGTTACTAATTTTTCCATCCTCTTTGCCGGGAGCAAAGAAAAAGGGACGTTTTCCAGAGACACAAGCCCTTTCCTACTACCCACAGTTCGGATCGATCATTTTGGCAACGACTCTCGCCTTTATTTATTCTATTTATTTATTTATTGGTTCTCAAGAAGCGAGAGGATGTTAGCAGAACGCACCCGCAAAGCGGCAGCGGCCGGGACCCCCCGG